CAGCAGAAGGAAGCGCTTTCATGGCCTCTGCCATCCACACAACTGTTCCAGGGCTTGAGTCCACTGCGCCAGCCAAGGTGTCAATTCAAAGGCCAACAGAAGCTTGCCCATTTGGATAAGAGGGCAGGGTTTCCTGTTGCATGGAGGGCCACCCACCCACTCACCTACCCGCCTTGAGTTGAAGCCAACGCCAGGGCAACCGCCCACTCACCGCCATGGTGTCAACACTGGGTCACAGGGAGCCTCTGTGGGTTTACGAGAGGGTAACGGTTTACTGAAGTAGAGAAGCCCCGATCATTCTCCCAGAGCTGCTGGTGGTGCCTAACTGCTGAGCATGTGGATCGCTGCCCAGGGCATACCTGCCACACCACCAAGGCTCTGAACGAAGACAATCGACAGTGATAACATTCTGAGCTCCTGACTACTGTTCCCACCTAGCTGCCCTCCCCCCTGCACCCTGATGAGTTAGCCGTTTCTTACATATGTCGACTGTTCATGAAACTTGCACCACCTCTAACCTTCTCACACTACCTCTGTCTGACAGATTCCTACAAGCTATTGAAGAGTCCACTCAGGTCTCATGCTTCCATGGGGCATGAACTGGGCCAGCGCTCACCCAAGGGCTTCAGGCACAGGGCGCACACCTCCTGATTCCCACCCTGCTCCTTTCACATCACAGGCTAGGCGGACTTGGCCACCAAAGACTGGCCTTCTAGAATCAAGGGCCGTGTCTCACATATACCAAGGAGACACAAAACTGGTTAAGGCGCACCGTCCCAAGGTCACCCAGCAACGATCACTAGTTAACTCCAGTTTAGCTGTATGGGCAAGAGCACAGCATTTCCAACTTGCTACACTGTGGCTGTTTGCCTCACAGATAAGATTAGCCAAGGTCAGCCCCCAAATCCTCATCCTGCTCAACATTCCTGGGGCTCCCTCAACACATGCAGCAACAGTAAGCACTCAAAACAAACTCCCTGCCACAGAGTCGATGCTGACTCACAGCGACCTTAAAGGACAGGGAAAACAGCCCTGTGAGTTTCTGAGACTGTTAAGGGTTTACAGGAGTAGAAAGGCCCATCTCTCCCATGAAGCGGCTGGTTGTTTTGAACTGTTGACCGTATACATAGTAACCCAATGAGAAACCACTACGCCACCAGGGCTCTCCAGTTCACGTTATATATCCTACTGGTCTGTCAGAAGTACACCTTATATATCCTATCGGTCTGTCAGAAGTACACATTATAAATCCGACTGGTCTGTCCGAAGTGTCTGTTGGGTCTACCACCACCTCTTTCTGGCCTGGCACTACAGGTAGCAGGTAGCCTTCATCACGTCGTTCTCACTCCACTGGAAGTGCTCACCTATGCGAGTGAAGCCATGCCACGCCAGGTTCCCTCGGCCCCACCACTGGCAGCAAGCTTGCTCCGTGTCGGCCACTCTCCCTTTTTGTTTCCGTCTTTCATAAAAACTCTTTTGTGTGACAGGCAGGCAGCTGTGCTTTGTTCTTTAATGTGCCTCGCCTGGGTCCCCAGCCGAGACCACTTTATAACATAAACGGCAAAGTACCATTTTCACAGCGGGGACAACTGTGTTCATCTACAAAAAGAGGCATTAATAAAATGAGACTGTAATGAACATGCTAATTCTGATCACAGGGTACTGCACAAAGGCAGAGAGCATTAACTGCCTGCTCCCTGAAAGATTGTAAACGTTTCCTGCCTTTTTTTTTTTTTTTAACAACAGCTATAATGGCTTACTCTCCCCCGCCCCTTTTTGGAAACAGACATATTATGCAAACATCTCTCTCTATTTCCAAAAGAAATGTCTTCGTTGTCTCATCCAGCGGCTTGCGGTGTATGTTGTTATCTCAATACAAGTCACCTTCAGGGACTTCCTGAAACTGGCGTGTCACAGACCCAGAGAAGGATGGAGAGAAGTGATCTGAGGGTGTCCCAATCCAAAGCCTCCTTGGAGCACAGGAGGGAGGGAGGGAGCACAGGAGGGAGGGAGCACAGGAGGGAGGGAGGGAGGGAGCACAGGAGGGAGGGAGCACAGGAGGGAGCACAGGAGGGAGGGAGGGAGGGAGGGAGCACAGGAGGGAGGGAGGGCAGGAGGGAGGGAAGAGGGAAGGGGGAGAGAAGAGGGGGAGAGGGAAGAAGCCAGGGGGCAGAGGGAAGCAAGGAGGGAACAAGGGAGGGAAAAGGGAAAGGGTGGGTGGGGGAGAGGAGACGAAAGATGGCTCACTCAGAGACAGGGCCAGAACTATCTGTATGTGTGTATTTTCTTACGGGTTGATCTTCGTCAATCACAAAACGCAGTACGTTTATACACAGAGTAGACACTTAAAAAAGAGGGAGATCATCAAAAGTCCTAAGCATCTGCGTAGTCGACCTTCGCATAAATGTATTTCATGAGAGAGGTTTACTAGGCTGGGTGACATCAATGTCTCATCTTTGATCTGTTAACATTTTTAAAGATAAAATGATACTCCTTAGATGCTTCAAGCCAAGATTAGTAACTACTAAGGAGATTACTGGTGCTGGTTTGGGGAGCAATGTTCTACGGGAATGACATGCAAAGACTCAGGTACTTTCTGCATTCCAACTTCAAGAACATATGGGGACAGTCCCCAGATCCTTGCCACCTCTGAAATCAGACCCCTAACTTCACTCTGCTTGCTGCTGCTTGCCCATTAACAATGAAACTCCCTCCTTTGTTTCCACCATGTCCACATCACAGGTTCTGGTTTCTTCCCTCCTGCTTGGCCTTACTCTCCCTCCAGAGTTGGAAGCGGCCTAAAGGTATACTTAAGAATCCACCTTGGGCACAGAGACCCTGGACGGGGGCAGTGCGTCCATGAGGTGTGTGGTTCCACGGCTTCCTCTTCTACCACCCATGAGAATCTCAGGCTCTGATCACCTTTGACGGTGGCATGGCAGGAACCATGAAAGAAATGCTCAGCTGTGGGCCCACAGCTGCGGTAGCTCCTTCTTCTACACTCACCTGGGCCCTACGCCATCTCAAAGCTCACGGGCATCACATCCATTCTACTCTCAGTGGCTGAAAGGACTTAGAAGAATGGCCCAAGATTTCTGAGTCTTTAACTCTTTAGGACAGTAGAAAGCCTCCTCTTTCTCCTGAGGAGTAGCTGGTGGTTTGAAACTGGTAACCTTGTGGTTCGCAACCCAAAATTTTGGCACAATTTGAACCAGGACCCCGTAAAGAGGTAAAATCACACCCCTGTAGCAGAAGGTCCATTTGGTTAGTATCTTAAGACACCAAGATCACAAATCAGCTCTTCTCTGGGGATTTGAGACTAGTGTTAGTACCTAGACATCGTCCCTTCTAGTTGAACGTCAGCACGACCGGCAATTTGTTCTCAAGCATGTTGCCATTCTTTTAGGGAGGCAGGGATTTCTGCATTGGTTCAGCTGGGATAGAAATGTAGCTCAGAACTGAGTTCTCTGTGTTAGCAGCATTCTGTTTCAGGAATTTCAAAGATAAACACCTAATTGCCAATATTTTTACTATTTAAATATTCCACTTAATATTCTAAAATATCAGTCTCTGATTTACATCTTTCAAAACATAGCGGGTTTCAAAAAGTTCATGGAGAAAAGCCATTATGACTTCATTCCGATTTGCCACAAACATGCATCCCTTGGTAAAACCCCATTTTTCAAGGCTTCTTGGACTGTCAAGTGGTTCCTTCCTGGGAGCTATGTAGTTTATTTTTCCAGGCTCATATCCACTAGGTAAATCTCCCTTTTTTTCCTAGGAACTGAGAAATCTTACGAAATGTTATTTACTGACAAAACCAAGAGACCACACCTTTTCTTAGAGAAAAGTATTTCTCTTTGAAAGAAACAAAAAACCTGCCTGGTTGTAAATAAGAATGAAATTGAGTCATCAATGGGAGAGAGAAAAAAAGAGAGAAATGGGGGTGGGATAGGAATCACCCTAATCTATGTATGTTCAGCTGCAATTACTCCATAATCCCTTCTTCCCAATTACCTTCATCTTAAGAAACCCTACACTTCTTAATGCTGGGTTTAACCACGACGGAGCTTAAGCAAAGCAAACAATATGTATGCAGGGAACAACGTAGAAAAAGGTACAGAAATAGTCACCTGGGAATTTCATACTAGGTTAGCCAAGCTGGGAGACATCTTTATCTCTGTACCCAAAACAAAGCTCAGAATACACAACCCAGTTCGCATCATGGTCCTTTCCCTCCAGTGCTGCCATCCCACAGAGAGGACAGAAGTGAAGCCAGTGGGGCAAAGTGCAAAAGCAACACAGCTGAAGACCCCAACCCATGGACGGAAGCCACGTTCTCCCTTGGATCCATAGGTGCTAGCTCAGGATGGTCCAGGACATCATTCAGTGGTTCTCAACCTGTGGGTTGAATGACCCTTTCACAGGGGTCACCCAATTCATAAGGGTAGCAAAATTATAGTGATGAAGTAGTGATAAAATAATGTTATGGCTGTGGGGTCACCACAGCATGAGGAACTGTATTAGGGTCGCGGCTTTAGGAAGGTTGAGAACCTCTGACATCAATGGAGAAAGACGCCTTGCTTGACCTTGGTCCTGACCAACCATTCGGGAGGAACTCATTTTTCAATTGAGGTTGCTCCTTAAATTTTGCAAACATCAGTGTCACTTTAGACAGTCGTTACAACCCAGCTGCAGACACATGTAGGAAAAACAAACCCCCCACCTCTGCACTGGGAATGCTGACAGGCCGACGCGGAGCCTCCCGTGGTCTCTCCCTGGATCGACATGGAAATTCAACACGGTACCTGGCACACAAAACCCCCCTTTCATGTCTCCGATGAGCATTTTCCAACTTCCTGTTTACAAGCTCGACCATGAGAAGCGGTTTTGTTCTGTCTGCTTCCATTAGCCCTTCCCATAGACTTTATAAAAGAACCGCCCCAAGATAGGCAATTCCAAGCATGATGCATTTGATTGTCTGGCCCTTGAGCACTTACCACGTAGAACTGTGAGTCTGGTGGATACACTTATCTCTCCCACATTATTCGCGGCCACACATTCATAAATGGCCTCGTCCCGAGGAGTCCGTAAGGGCTGTATTCTGAGAACTGATCCTGAGCCATCGTCAAACTCTATTACCTATAGGAGGAAACAACAGCTGTCACAGATGTTGTTACAAGCGTCTACCCCTCAGCTAAACCCTGGGGAGGAGTGGCGCGCCACAGGCTGGAGAAAAACAGCAGCAGTTTGAGATGAGAGGATGCTATCACGTTGAAACCACGTAGGGAGCCTAATGCCGAGGTTCTTCTCCTGCCCAAATAGGCTGGCATAGTGGATCTAGGGCAAGGAAGCCCTCTTAATTTTGCAGACACTTTTGGTACTGATGGATAAACTCTTCACATTATTCTGTGTCTGAATACACATGTGCCCATGTGGAGTCGTTCACTAATTGGACGTTAGGGAGAAGAATTAATGCAAGCCACCACAGAGAGCTCGTGACGTTGCTATGGTCTCATCTTAAAGAGTGCAGATGAGCAAACCACGAAGAGGAACTGCATACATATAGGGCTTAAGCAACCAACAGGGCAGCTTCCACAACCCTACTGCCTGGTGGCATGCATTAATTTTGCCATAAATCATTCCAGTATTTGTTCTAGCTTCACATTTTCCGTTTGTTTCTTTATTGGGGGAGAGGGGGGAGGGGGGAGAGCATTCTTGCTGTAAAAATGGAGGCTTCCTTCAGCAGGCAGAATGTCCTAAACAATCACCCAGATGTTGCCATCCCGGAGGCTCTAATCCGGAAGCAGCTTAGCTATGCTGGTCATCCCAGATACTTGTCAGCTCATCCAAGTGTTCCTTTACCAAAAGGATGACATGGGCGCTGGCGGTGTGCACGGGGCTGACAGAGAGTCCTCTGTCAACAGCCTGTGCTGGTTCAGCTGTGGATGGAGGCACGGTGCTTCCCTGCAATTCCCTGAGCATGAAACTTAGATGTGACTCCCACACACGATTCCGGGGTGCTCCACTCCAGATTGGGTCCTTCTGAGTATGTGTGGGTTAACACACGGGAAAAAAGGAGATGGCTTTGAAAACCTGGTCCCCTCAAGTCCTTCCATGGTGTGGCACCCTTATATACTAAAAATTCCAAAGATAACCAAGGGCCCTACTTTTCAGTGCACCACAACCCTATGAAGTCTACATTATAGAGCATATATATATGCTTTCTACTGCTTAATCAGAGCAAAGTTTAAAAATCATCAATATTCCTGGTTACCCGCTGGCCTGCTAACTGCATGATTGGCAGCTCAAAACCCCCAGCTGTTCTGTGGGACAACGATGAAGCTTTCTATTTCCAGAGAGTCACAGTCTCAGAAACTCAGAGGCAGTTCACCCCTGCCTTACAGGGTCGCTCTGAGTCGGATCAAGTCCATGGCAGAGAACTGGGCTATACTGATTGTCAGCGGACTGTGTGCACATGTACTGCTGAGCGAGATTCTAGACGGGGGGCTGCGCTCTTAGTGCAAACCAGAAACATCAGGCATTGTAAGCTGGCGTAGAGATTTCCGATTTATAAAGTTCCATTTACTATCTAGTATTGGTTATGCAGAGTCCCTGGTGGGGGCATAGGCTATGAACCAAAAGATTAAAGGTTCAAGTCCATTCGCAGACACCTCAAAAGAAAAACATTGCCCCAACTTTTTCTATTCCAGACAAGGCGACTTGTCTGGAATAACTGCTTTTCCATGGATGTGTCCGTAGGACCCTGGTTAAGAATTATAGATTGAACACAGCTCGCATTGTGAAATGTTCAGGCTTGTAATTTCATCTTGGTTTGAAGATTTCCTTCAAGCAGCCATGATCACTAGCAAGAACGATGTCAAGTTCCTCTTGGGTAGAATAATTAAATTTCACTTAAGGCTCCAAAAATGTGGACCAAAATTGCACCGCCTCTATTTTTTTTAATAAACATATAATGTTGAACATATTTCCAAGAGTCTTTCAAATGCGATTTTCCACTAAATCTTTAGATCGCTGTCTTTGACTCTCAAGCAAGCATCCTCTTAAAGTCTCCTTTTGACAACTACAGCCCGGATGTTAATTTCCACCAGAGTGGATGATCAGGTTCCACAAGCACTGGGGCCATTTTTCAAGTCTGGAGAACATGAGACAGGGGCTCTCAGCTGGGTAACCATGTAACCCTCTTTTAACTGGCTTTGAGTTCTGCCAAACAGTGGATGAGCCCAGAGAGAAGATTAGTCACCCAGGTGAGAGGAAGCCCGTTTCACGATCAGAAGCAGTTTGAGTCTTGATAGCCTAAGAATCATACTCTCTGCTCTCTGTCTTAAAAGATCTGCTCCTTGGGCTTCTCTAAGCACTTGATACTATTTTCTTTCTCTGGAGTGACCGCCATTTGAACCGTCAGGATCCTAACACACAAGCCAGAAAGAAGCTGCAAATTACGTTTCATCATCTTCCATGCACTAGGCTTTCCTGGACGGAGAAAAAAGATTTCTTCAATGGGTTGAGCTGCAATGTGATCGAGGTGAGTATCCTCCTCTCAGTGTGACGCCCTGACCTAGGTCACTGAAGCACTATTCTCACTGGATTCACTCGACTTGCAAATCACCAGGGCGGGGAATAGGGGCAACTTTGTTTGGTGCCCAGCTTCTGTTCCGCTTCTTCTTACTAACAGGCACGCGGATGAACACTGTGCTTTCATTCATGTCTTCCGTGGGCTGGATCCCACCCCCAGCAGCAGACAAGGATTCAGATCGGAGTTTATTAATGAGCCGATACCATCCACCTATGCACACAGAGGAATTTAGAGACGGGTCTATACCTCAAAGCAAGCTCCTGGCATAGGGCGCTTCAGGGAGAGGCATGCATGCCATCATTCACCAAGTGGGCTTTGTCTTCCAATTTCATGGGAGAAGCCTGGGGTTGAAGTTAGCAGAGATGGTTCCCAGAAACCTCTTTTGAGCCTCAGTGCCAAAAGAGACAAAAGCCAGCTACCTGCACCCACGCCCCTCCCATCCTTTTGGAAAATGCCAATTTGAGTCGAGTTTTCCACCAACTACAACGCAAGCCATGACCACGGGTTCTGAGTGGCGCTATCTGAGAACAGCACACAGGTAGCAGCATTCCCATGGCTGTGAGGGTAGGTATGGTCTCCCCCAGAGGAACAGAACAATGGACCTAATACCTCAAATCTCTGGTTGCTGACTTTCTTTCCTTTTTTGTTCCAGACAATTTTCGGCCTCGGGTCTCCTGTCGCTTGGCAAATGAATGAGGCAACTCCGCCCGAGACCCCGGTCTGGTCCACAGGAGTTCGTGTAAACCTAGGAGGCGCTGAAATGAAAGAAACACGCATCACAATGAAATGGGGAGTGGAAACAAAGCCCTGCCGCCTTTCCCACAGGCCTCAGCCTCCCACCAGGCAGCACACAGACCCATCCATCCACACATCGGCCGGCCAGAACAAGGAAAGGAGGAGCGTGTCTTCCACGTTCAGGGCTCCTGTGAAGGGGAGGGAGGTAGCTTTCTGGTAAAGCTGTCTGTTGGTGTTCTTTGATGCTCACTAAGGTCAAGATCCAGTAACAGTCGAAGAGCAACATCACACGTTAATTTTTATTACCAGAAAAAATTTTTATTACCAGAAAAAAAATATATATATAATGAATCCAATTTGTCCACTGCAACAAAATGAGCTCATCAATCAAAGTGAGCAGAATTTTAGCTCTTTGCTTTGATGTTGCCATCAGGACACTGCCAGAGCTGCTCTCTGGCACTGCAGAAACATTACAACGAGTGACACTTAAGAGAAATTCCAGGAAATTTTAAAGAGACAACAAATACAGCCCAGATTTAAAAGATTTGGCAAGCAACAGAGACTGGAGGGTGCGGGCTGGTAAGCTGACTGCCTAACCCCGATCCTGTGTGTGCCACAATCTGAGCAAAAAAAGTTGAATCTACAAGTTTCAAAAGTCACAACAAAGAAAGGCATGTCTTAAAGACTGAGATAGAGGAAGGCTAACATTCTGAAAAGATATCGAGATGGAAATTTAAGAATTTCTCAATTCCCTCCATCTCCTTTAAAGGGTCCTAACATCACTTCTTTAAAAATGACTCATCTTTCTACCTAATATTTCCAAACCTTGAAATATATCCAATGAGAAAGTTAAAAGGCACAGATGGATAGGTATGTACCAACACATAAACACACTTCATCAATCTACAGAAACTAAAGTCTTCTAATTACCTAATACAGTATAAACTGATAGTGAGATAAAATACAGCATAGTGAAAGAGCATCAGTCCATAATATTAGATCCACAAGGCTTTTTATCACACACTATGAGAAGTTTTTTTGACTTGATGATCAGGCCCAAAAATCACACTATAAAATTCTATGTAAGAGACAGCAAATAAAGAAATAATGTTTACTGGGAAAAGAAAGGAAAAACAAAATAATTATGCTAAAGCAAGAAGTTTGAGCCGTGGTATTTTAAATAGTTTACCTTACTTTTAAAATTTTTCTCATGTCCTTGAGTTTTTATAATCGGGTGCTTTTAAAAGTTTATAGTACTAACATTTCCTCTTCCCTATTTTTTTTCCTTATCCCCATCCTCAATTTTCTGCTTCTGACATGTTTCAAGTATGCACCATAAATAAGTAGGTTACTTGAAGACTAAGGTGCACCGGGCCCAAGTTGCGGTATTTTCAATTGCCTAATATGCATGAGGAAGCTGGACATTTTATATGAAGACCAAAGAAGAATCAATGCATTTGCATTAGGTGCTAGAGAAGAATATTTAAAGTACCATGGATCACTAAAAAGAATACATAGACATGTCTTGGGAAAAGTACAGCCAGAATGCTCCTCAGAGGCAAGGACCCTGAGATTTCTCATCCATTTCGGCATGTTGTCAGGGGCATGTTGGGCATGCCCCTGGAGAGGGCATGATGCTTGCTAAAGTAGTGTGGTACCAAACAGACGAAGACCATCCATGAGATGGATTGACACAGAGGCTGTCTCGATGGGCTCAAACACAGAACAATTGTGAGGATGATGCAGGACCCACCAGTGTTATGTTCTGTTGTACATAGGGTGGCTATGGGTTGGAACCAACGAGAGAGAACCTAACAACAGCATTATAACTAACCAGTGACCACCAAGTTGATTCCAATTAGTGGCTAGCCCATGTGTGTCCAGAGAAGACTGTGACCTTCTGGAAGCAGGTTGCCAGGCCTTTCTTCCAAGGCACTTCCGGGTAGACTGTTTCAACCTCTGACCTTCTGGTCACAGTAAAGTGCTTAATCCTTGGTGCCACTCAAAGGCCCTCTATGTCGAGCAGCAGCTTTCATTGATGTTGACAAGCTCCTTGGAGAACATGTAGGAGCACAACCACGTCAAGCGCCATCAACTTGCACATCGCCGGGTCCTCTGCATCGTTTCACCTTTCCCAGGTGATGCTCCTGTGGCCTGCCTCCAATTTGATCAAGGAGCCAGTGTCCCATCTTCAGCTCTGCCATTAAGTGTGAGAAATGCAGCAACTGACCACCATTCCTGAAGCAGCAAAGCTATCAGATACATGGCCACAGAGGGGTCCTCTCTGGGTTGGAAGTTTTCTGCATCAGTTATCTGAACTCTGAAATAAGGGTCGAGGAGAACAAGAGCGTCCAGCAGAAACTCCCATGACACTGGTCCTAGAGAAAGAGTTCCCAGCTCATCAGCAAATTCAATGCAGCTTGATGGCCATCATGAGACCGGGGTAACCCGGAGGCCTGGGTCTGCTCAGAATGGGTAAGGCAGACGGTAGTGAGCCCTGACAATGCATTCATAACGCATCCTGCCTCACCTCTTGGTAGCAACACAAACTAGATGATTACCAGGAGCTGCGGGAAATACTTAAACTGATTTCGAATTGCCTAACAGTAAGAAGAATTAAAGAAAAAAGTTATATATTGATATCATTTTTCTGGAAACAAACAAACAAGGAAAGATCTTACAAGTGTTTGCATGTTTCCTTGTGCTCCTGCAAACAAAGCAAACCGGTAATAACCACTCACTTGTCAGCCACTAATATAAAAAGTCTAATTAGGCAATTAAGATTCCGAGGGAATGTTTCTAGAAAAATAAAATGCACCCTCCTGCTACAATAGTCAATGTGATGGTATTGCCTTCCTTCGCTTGTCCCCAGATGAACAGTTGACAACATTCAGTGAAACCAATTGAAACAACACTAGCTTCCTGTTCAAGTCTGGGTTTGAAATTCCCGACCAGCGTGTCTGAAGGGAGGGAAGAGCTATGTAATGAAACAAGGGCGTGGGACTCAAAATAAATAAGCCTAGAACCCATGAGCCCCTTGACCCTGGCCTGGGAGTTCCGCACCCCTCCCCCCGGCTTTAGTGGATAGCTTCCTGTCTCTCATCTCCCCTAAGATGAAGGAAACGTGGAGATGTTGACACTTCTGTCAACGGGCCACTGGGAGATGAGCTTCTTATGACAGCTTGAGGCGCTGAGAACCCAAGTTAGAAAGGTAACTTGGGAAGAACATGTAGGGAAGGGCATTAGATAAGTCAAATTAGTTTGAAACCGAGAAATTTCATTTCTAAATGAAACGGAAAGAAGGGTGCAACAGTGGGCGTGTCTCATAAGTACCTCCATTTTCTCAGGATACCACCCACCAAAAGCCTTCCCACAAGATGTTCCTTTAAGGTCTCATTTCTAGAGTCAAAATCCAGTGATAGATTTCATCCATGGAAATGAAGAGAATTTCTTAGAAGTAACCCATCTGAGTCTTCCGGAAACCTACACCCGATCACCCGAGTGACCAGGTATTCTTCCAAACTCAGCTTTTTAAAGGGGTCATTTTCTTCTTTAAAGATAAGAAATAAAATTGAACACACTAGATTCAAATGGGAGCCCTTTCAGGCTCTTATGCCCCAAAGTGTTTTTAGTTTTAAAAGGAAGGCCTGCATATGTATTTCCACGTCACATACCACCTCCACCACCAAAAAAACAGTCATGACGTTACATACATAACCTGATGCCAGTGTTTCTAAAGTTCCCAACACATTCCAAGGGAGGAATGCCATTATTCGAGGGTCCACATGGGGGCATACGTAAAGGAGTGGGACGCCTCATCTTTCTCCAAGGAAAGCAAACAACAGAGGCTCTGCCCACAGAAGCGCGCCATGGAGCACGCCTGCCCCGTGAGGAGACTTGCAGGCCCCCATCCTTTCCCATGACTTCCCATCATCATGTCCTACTTGGTCCACCTGCTAACTGATTCTTGAGAGCGCACCGTGAGGAGGAAGGCAGACCTCTCCAGCGGCCACAGTGTAGATAGGCCCCATTCTGTATCCCTGTCGTCCACAGCCATGGCCAACCCCGAGCTTGGCAAAATCCACTTCTGCTGCGGCTGCTTTTGACAAAGGAGGAGTCGGATCCTTTATTAAATGAATGCAGTGCACCTCAGAGGCCAAATGACTGCAGGGCCCAGAGAGTCTATTTTCTAAATGGAAAGTAGAGATGATAAACCAGCACCTGAGTCAGAAGAGGGGCACGGCTGGCATTCTAGAACACATCAGTCACGCTCCCCTGCGTTTTCAAGGGCTACGCATTCTCGGGAAGCATGCACCGGCAGACCCAGTAACTCCAGGAATTTGGGAGATTATTATATCCTACCCAGCTCAAGAAGAACACATGGGTGGCTGATTTTTTTTTATATAACTTCTAAGGGACTAGATGACTTTTTAAAACAGTTTTATGAGTGTATAATTAACATGCTATACAACTCATTGGCTTACATATATTTTTAAAAGCTGGGTAATCATCACTTTAGTCAATTTTAGAACATGTTCTTCATTCTTGTACTTATTATTCTTAGATCTTCATTATCTCCCAGCCTCCTCTGATAGAAGCCTATTCACTCACTCACTGCCGTGGAGTCAATGCTGACTATAGCACCCCCTGTGGGCTTATAGCCCCTCCTGTGGGCTTCCAAGACCATCGCTGTTTACGGGAGTAGAAAGTCTACTCTGAACCCTCAGGAACTATTGATTTAGTGATTACCCCTATGGATTTGCCTATCCTGGATTTCCTAGCAAGGAAATCACTCAACCCCTGGCCCAGGACAACAACAAAAGAAAACACAGATAAATCTCAAAGAGAAGACAGCAGAAAATAGAAACTAGATCAAGGCTAGATGACTTTTTAAAGTACACCCATATGTAGGAGCTTTGCATGTAGTGGCTGTAATAGATGGCTATGGTATCACATTTCAGATGGCTGGGCGCTCTGAAGACCAGGCGGCGAGTTCCAACCAGGCTGGGCGTATGGCCTT